CCCCCCCTCCTTCACCCCCCCGTGTTCTCCTCGCCGCATCCGCGAGGAGGTTTTCTCTGCCGCGTGCCGGGGTCCCCTCCCCGCACGCGCTCTCACCTGCCCCGTCGCGTTCATCTCCCCCCACCCCTCACCCCCCCTCCCTCCCCCCCTGTCTCCCCCTCCCCTCTGTCTCCCTCCCCCTCCCCTCTCCCCCCTCCCCCTTCCTCTCTCCTTCGCCCTCTGTCTCCCTCCCCCTCCCCTCTGCCCCCCTCTCCCTCCCTCTCTCCCTCCCTCGCTTGGGGCTGTGTTTCTCTCGTGTTTTACGCTCTCAGCACCCACTCCGCCTCCTCCGTGTCTCCAGCTCTCCCCACTCACTCCCCCACTCACTCACTCCCCCACTCACTCACTCCCCACTCACCCACTCACTCACTCCCCCACTCACTCACTCACTCCCCCACTAACCCCCCACTCACTCACTCCCCCACTCACCCCCCACTCACTCACTCCCCCACTCACCCCCCACTCACTCACTCCCCCACTCACCCACTCCCCCACTCACTCCCCCACTCACTCACTCCCCCACTCACCCCCCACTCACCCCTCACTCACTCACTCCCCCACTCACCCCCCCCACTCACTCGCTCACCCCTCACTCACCCACTCACCCCCACTCACGCACTCCCCCCTCACCTGATTCATCATTGAATTTGGGCGCACGGATCGAGTCGTGAAACGATGCTCCAGGTCAACTCTAGGGAAGTGGTTCACGACATTTTGCTTGGAGCGTAACTCTCAACTTGTCTGTGTACCCCTACCAGCCCTACCCCTGTCTGTGAACCCCTACCAGCCCTACCCCTGTCTGTGAACCCCTACAAGCCCTACCCCTGTCTGTGTACCCCTACCAGCTCCTACCCCTGTCTGTGAACCCCTACCAGCCCCTACCCCTGTCTGTGTACCCCTACCAGCCCTACCCCTGTCAGTGTACCCCTACCAGCCCTACCCCTGTCTGTGTACCCCTACCAGCCCTACCCCTGTCTGTGAACCCCTACCAGCCCTACCCCTGTCTGTGTACCCCTACCAGCCCTACCCCTGTCTGTGTACCCCTACCAGCCCTACCCCTGTCTGTGAACCCCTACCACCCCTACCCCTGTCTGTGAACCCCTACCACCCCTACCCCTGTCTGTGAACCCCTACCACCCCTACCCCTGTTTGTGAACCCCTACCAGTCCTACCCCTGTGTGTGAACCCCTACCAGCCCTACCCCTGTCTGTGAACCCCTACCAGCCCTACCCCTGTCTGTGAACCCCTACCAGCCCCTACCCCTGTTTGTGAACCCCTACCACCCCTACCCCTGTCAGTGAACCCCTACCAGCCCCTACCCCTGTCTGTGTACCCCTACCACCCCTACCCCTGTCTGTGAACCCCTACCAGCCCCTACCCCTGTCAGTGAACCCCTACCAGCCCCTACCCCTGTCAGTGAACCCCTACCAGCCCCTACCCCTGTCAGTGAACCCCTACCACCCCTACCCCTGTCAGTGAACCCCTACCAGCCCCTACCCCTGTCTGTGTACCCCTACCACCCCTACCCCTGTCTGTGAACCCCTACCAGCCCTACCCCTGTCTGTGAACCCCTACCAGCCCCTACCCCTGTCTGTGTACCCCTACCAGCCCCTACCCCTATCTGTGTACCCCTACCACCCTACCCCTGTCTGTGTACCCCTACCCCTGTGTGTGAACCCCTACCAGCCCCTACCCCTGTCTTTGTACCCCTAACACTCCTACCCCTGTCTGTGAACCCCTACCACCCCTACCCCTGTCTGTGTACCCCTACCCCTGTGTGTGAACCCCTACCAGCCCCTACCCCTGTCTTTGTACCCCTACCACTCCTACCCCTGTCTGTGAACCCCTACTACCCCTGTCTGTGAACCCCTACCAGACCTACCCCTGTCAGTGAACCTCTACCCCTGTCTGTGAACCCCTACCAGACCTACCCCTGTCAGTGAACCCCTACCAGACCTACCCCTGTCAGTGAACCCCTACCAGACCTACCCTTGTCTGTGAACCCCTACCAGACCTACCCCTGTCAGTGAACCCCTACCAGACCTACCCTTGTCTGTGAACCCCTACCAGACCTACCCTTGTCTGTGAACCCCTACCAGACCTACCCTTGTCTGTGAACCCCTACCAGACCTACCCTTGTCTGTGAACCCCTACCAGACCTACCCTTGTCTGTGAACCCTACCAGACCTACCCTGTCTGTGAACCCCTACCAGACCTACCCTTGTCTGTGAACCCCTACCAGACCCTACCCTTGTCTGTGAACCCCTACCAGACCTACCCTTGTCTGTGAACCCCTACCAGACCTACCCTTGTCTGTGAACCCCTACCAGACCTACCCTTGTCTGTGAACCCTACCAGACCTACCCCTGTCTGTGAACCCCTACCAGACCTACCCTTGTCTGTGAACCCCTACCAGACCTACCCTTGTCTGTGAACCCATACCAGACCTACCCCTGTCTGTGAACCCCTACCAGACCTACCCTGTCTGTGAACCCCTACCAGACCTACCCCTGTCTGTGAACCCTACCAGACCTACCCCTGTCTGTGAACCCCTACCAGACCTACCCCTGTCTGTCTACCCCTACCAGCCCTACCCCTGTCTGTGAACCCCTACCAGACCTACCCCTGTCTGTGAACCCCTACCAGACCTACCCCTGTCTGTGAACCCCTACCAGCCCCTACCCCTGTCTGTCTACCCCTACCAGCCCTACCCCTGTCTGTGAACCCCTACAGCCCTATCCCTGTCTGTGAACCCCTACCAGCCCTACCCCTGTCTGTGAACCCCCTACCAGCCCTACCCTGTCTGTGAACCCCTACCAGCCCTAACCCCTGTCATGTGAACCCCTACCAGCCCTACCCCTGTCTGTGAACCCCTACCAGCCCTACCCCTGTCTGTGAACCCCTACCAGCCCTACCCCTGTCTGTGAACCCCTACCAGCCCTACCCCTTGTCTGTGAACCCCTACCAGCCCTACCCTTGTCAGTGAACCCTACCAGCCCTACCCTTGTCTGTGAACCCCTACCAGCCCTACCCTTGTCTGTGAACCCCTACCAGCCCTACCCTTGTCAGTGAACCCCTACCAGCCCTACCCTTGTCTGTGAACCCCTACCAGCCCTACCCTTGTCTGTGAACCCCTACCAGCCCTACCCTTGTCTGTGAACCCCTACCAGCCCTACCCCTGTCAGTGAACCCCTACCAGACCTACCCCTGTCAGTGAACCCCTACCAGCCCTACCCCTGTCTGTCTACCCCTACCAGCCCTACCCTTGTCTGTGAACCCCTACCAGCCCTACCCCTGTCTGTGAACCCCTACCAGACCTACCCCTGTCAGTGAACCCCTACCAGCCCTACCCCTGTCAGTGAACCCCTACCAGCCCTACCCCTGTCAGTGAACCCCTACCAGCCCTACCCCCTGTCTGTGAACCCCTACCAGCCCTACCCCCTGTCTGTGAACCCCTACCAGCCCTACCCCTGTCTGTGAACCCCTACCAGCCCTACCCTTGTCTGTGAACCCCTACCAGCCCTACCCCTGTCAGTGAACCCCTACCAGCCCTACCCTTGTCTGTGAACCCCTACCAGCCCTACCCTTGTCTGTGAACCCCTACCAGCCCTACCCTTGTCAGTGAACCCCTACCAGCCCTACCCTTGTCTGTGAACCCCTACCAGCCCTACCCTTGTCTGTGAACCCCTACCAGCCCTACCCTTGTCTGTGAACCCCTACCAGCCCTACCCTTGTCTGTGAACCCCTACCAGCCCTACCCCTGTCAGTGAACCCCTACCAGACCTACCCCTGTCAGTGAACCCCTACCAGCCCTACCCCTGTCTGTCTACCCCTACCAGCCCCTACCCTTGTCTGTGACCCCTACCAGCCCTACCCCTGTCTGTGAACCCCTACCAGACCCTACCCCTGTCAGTGAACCCCTACCAGCCCTACCCCTGTCAGTGAACCCTACCAGCCCTACCCCTGTCTGTGAACCCCTACCAGACCTACCCCTGTCAGTGGAACCCCTACCAGACCTACCCCTGTCAGTGACCCCTACCACCCCTACCCCTGTCAGTGAACCCCTACCACCCCTACCCCTGTCCCTGTGAACCCCTACCCCTGTTTGTGAACCCCTACCAGCCCTACCCCTGTCTGTCTACCCCTACCAGCCCTACCCCTGTCTGTGAACCCCTACCCCTGTCTGTGAACCCCTACCCCTGTCTGTGAACCCCTACCCCTGTCTGTGAACCCCTACCCCTGTCTGTGAACCCCTACCAGCCCTACCCCTGTCAGTGAACCCCTACCCCTGTCTGTGAACCCCTACCCCTGTCTGTGAACCCCTACCCCTGTCTGTGAACCCCTACCCCTGTCTGTGAACCCCTACCCCTGTCTGTGAACCCCTACCAGCCCTACCCCTGTCAGTGAACCCCTACCAGCCCTACCCCTGTCAGTGAACCCCTACCAGCCCTACCCCTGTCTGTGAACCCCTACCAGACCTACCCCTGTCAGTGAACCCCTACCAGACCTACCCCTGTCAGTGAACCCCTACCACCCCTACCCCTGTCAGTGAACCCCTACCACCCCTACCCCTGTCTGTGAACCCCTACCCCTGTTTGTGAACCCCTACCAGCCCTACCCCTGTCTGTGAACCCCTACCACCCCTACCCCTGTCAGTGAACCCCTACCAGCCCTACCCCTGTCTGTGAACCCCTACCAGCCCTACCCCTGTCAGTGAACCCTTACCAGCCCTACCCCTGTCAGTGAACCCCTACCAGCCCTACCCCTGTCAGTGAACCCCTACCAGCCCTACCCCTGTCAGTGAACCCCTACCAGCCCTACCCCTGTCAGTGAACCCCTACCAGCCGCTCACAGCACTTGCCCCTAACAGTCTGTCGAGGCTACACGGGGGGGGGGTCCTTTGTCTTTGTGTAAATAATAACCCATGAGCTCGTGTGTTGCCCCCCCCCCCGACTCCGTGGAGGCTCCTTCAAGGGGATGTGCAAGAAGATCGATCACCTCCCAGACGACACGGAGATGGAGGCCGACTCTGCCGAGTACCTGCTACGTGAGTGGCTCCGTCTTCGTCGTCGTCGTTATCGTCAACGTCGTTATCATCATCGTCGTTATCATCGTTATCATTGTCATCATAATCGTCGTTATCATCATCATCATCGATATCATCGTCATCATCATCATCATCAATATCATCGTCATCATCATCATCAATATCATCGTCGTCATCATCATCATCGATATCATCATCGATATCATCATCGTCATCATCATCGATATCATCATCATCATCGTTACCATCGTTATAATCATCATCGTTATGATCTACATCATCATCATCGTCATCATCATCAACCAAACCATCGACTGCCAACATCATAAACACTCTGCCACTGCCTTCACTGCTTTAGACGAGGAACGGACGACGATCCGCTTCCTGATTCCGAACAGACGATCGAGTCGGGATAACCGCATCCAAAATAACATCTGCTAATCCGCCGCTATTAATCCGTACGATGAGAAGAAAGAAATCCCTCGACGGATGCACGATCGGAAATGAGACGCTCTCCTGCGCCAGAGGCAGACGAGAGAGAGACACAAACGTAATGATTGGGACCATCTGTTCCTCCACCCCCCCTCGGGTCGGCGTGTGTCCGCGTGCCAGGCGTGGTGCGAGCTTCCAGCGTCTTCCCCATCCTCAGCGTGACCCTGTTGCTCTTCGGGGGGCTCAGCATCGCCGCCAGTCGCTTCTACAAGTCCAAGAACAACGTCGTCCTCAGCGCCGGAATATTTTTCGTGTCGGCAGGTCGGTGTTTGTGTGGCCGCGACGGGTTGCGTGTCGTGATGTCACGTGGTGTCGTGATGTCACGTGGTGTCGTGTGGTGTCGTGTCACGTGGTGTCGTGTCGTGTCTCGTGGTGTCGTGATGTCACGTGGTGTCGTGATGTCACGTGGTGTCGTGTCACGTGGTGTCGTGTCGTGTCACGTGGTGTCGTGCCTCGTGGTGTCGTGTGGTCACATGGTGTCATGTGGTGTCACGTGGTATCGTGTCACGTGGTGTCGTGTCACGTGGTGTCGTGTCACGTGGTGTCGTGTGGTCACGTGGTGTCATGTGGTGTCACGTGGTGTCGTGTGGTGTCACGTGGTGTCGTGTCACGTAGTGTCGTGTGGTGCCACGTGGTGTCGTATCGTGTCGCAACATGTCGTGTCGCGGGCTTGGTTCACCCTCTCCTCGTTCTGCTTTGTCGCTTCCCTCCCAGAGGGTGGGGGGGGTGGAGGAAATAAAAAGAGACGATCTTTTCAAGAGGGTGCTGCCACGGTTTTCAAAGTAGGATGGGAGCGTGGTGGGTGGGGGGTGATATTGATGCTGCTGCGGTGGCTAGGAGATGTTAACTACCTCGCCTGGTGTTAGTGGTGTACAGGAGGTCGTGGGTTCAATCCCGACCCTCACGATGCCCGCTGCTGTATATTTGGAGTTTGGTGTCTCTCTCATCATCATCATCACGGTGGCGATTAGATGTTACCTACCTCGCCTGGTGTACAGGAGGTCGTGGGTTAGATCCCAACTCTGACGCCTGCTGCTGTATATTTGGAGTTTGCGTGTCTCTCTCCGTCATCATCATCACGGTGGCGATGAGATGTTAACTGCCTCGCCTGGTGTACAGAAGGTCGTGGGTTCGATCCCTCTTTCTCTCCCCGTGGTCGCGTGGATTTTTCTCCGGGTCCTCCGGTTTCCCCCCCCCCCCCCCCCCCCATCGCCCCGCGTTTAGAATCGACATCACGGAGTTATTTGGCTACTGCCATGAATTTCCACGTGATGATGATGACGATTAGAGACTTCGTTGAGGCTACCATTTGTGATAGCCACGTGGTTGCTTCTGAAAGAAAAGCTACTACGTTGCTCAGTCGGGGACTTAACACGGTAAAAGAAAAAAGAGTTGAGTTTGTAATTTGCAGATAAATATATATTTTTTTAAATCAGCGTTGGGATGGTTGCGTGGGTGAGTGGGTGGATGAGTGGGTGGGTTGGTGAGTGGGTGAGTGGGTAGGTGAGCGAGTGGGTGGGCGAGCGAGTGGGTGGGCAAGCGAGTGGGTGGGTGTGTGTGTGGGTGGGTGTGCGAGTGGGTGGGTTTGTGGGTGGGTGGGTGAGTGGTTGGGTGTGCGAGTGGGTGGGTGGGTGTACAAGTGAGTGGGTGGGTGTGCATATGGGTGGGTGTGCGGGTGGGTGGGTGAGTGGGTGGGTGAGTGGTTGGATGTGTGGGTGGGTGGTTGAGTGGGTGGGTGAGTGGATGGGTGTGTGGGTGTGTAGTGTACTAATTCAGAGACACTAGTAGGAGGCATTATCCATCTTGTTTATTCCAGCTCTCACAGCCATAGGGGACAACTCCATACCGGGTCTGGACAGCCAACATGTTTCCAGACCCACAGCTCGAAGAGGCAAAGACGACGACGACAGCAGCATGACGAGTTCCATTCCCAATGGCAGCAGGCCCCGACTGGGAGTCGGAGCTCGCCTTTTACTCTCCCCAGTGTGGCCCTCGGCCACGCACCCTTCTGGATCTTACGGGTCCAACTGGTAGAACGGGCTGCTACCCCTAAATCCATTGTCTACCAATCTCCCAGCGCCACACACTACAGTGACTCATTCAATGTCACTACATCACCCCCCCCCCCCCCCCCCCATGAAAAAAACAGCCGTCCCGGCTGGCCTTTATATGTCACATAGCGGGACGACGAACACAACAATATTCACGCGACATTCGCAATGCTGGACAAAGTGCACGATAGCCAACAACTCGCAGCGCGTGACACAATAGCGCTGCTCTGCAGGGGACAGCACTCAGCCACGCTCTCCAATCCGTTCTCCACCTGCGACAATATGGCGCCGATCCCGGTATCACTGGTGTCCGTATCCAACACAAAAGGCAATGTGAAATCGGGGTCATATTTTTGCAGGTGGAGAACAAGGCCATCTCGCAGCATAACAAATGCGGCCTCCTCCTCTTTCCCCCACCGAAACCTCTGGCTTTTTGCCGTGAGAACGTGGAGCGGCTTTGCGATTGTTGCAAACCCGGGCACGAAGCGGTGGTAATACGACACAAACCCCACAAAACTACGGACCTAACCCACCGACGTGGGGGTCGGCCACTCACACACGCAGTCTTTGTAGGGTCCGTGGCGATCTCGGACTCGATAACAACGTGACCCAGGTAGTGAACCGATTTTTTCAAGAGGTAACATTTCTGTGGCTTGAATTTTAAATTAGCCACCCGCATTTTAACAAATACCGCACGCAACCGCTGCAGATGTTCCCGGAACGTGCGACCGAAGACAATCACGGCATTCAAATAGATCAGACATGACTCCCATTGGAGCCCAGACAGTACCAACTCCATTAGTCGCTGGAACGTGGCCGGAGCCGAGTGAAGCCCCATCGGAAGCACGTTAAATTGAAACAGCCCTTGCGGTGTCCAGAACGTGGTTTTAGGTTTTGAACATTCATCCAGGGGCAACTGCCAAAACCCCGACAATAGATCCAGGGTGAAGAAAAACCACGCCCCCGACAGGGCATTCAACGAATCATCCATCCGTGGGAGCGGATACGTGTCTGCCACGGAGACTTTATTTCAATTCCGAAAATCTACGCAAAAACGCAAACTCCCGCCCTTCTTTTTAACCAGGACTATGGGAGCACCCCACGGACTGGTGGATGGGGAGATTATATTGGCGGCAAACATCTCATCGAACGCCTAACGAACGTAGTCCTTCTCCTTTGGTCTAAACCGAAATTAGTTCTGACGAATGAGAGCGGCGCCACCCGTGTCGATATGGTGATGCATCAGGGACGTGCAGCCCACATCAAATTTACCCTTACTAAATACATCAAAGAATTCCCGAAGCAATGCCCGCAACTCGCCCCTCTGTTCCCACGACAAATCCGGATTACCCACACACAACGGATCCATCCACGAGTCATCCAACACCGCATCCCGTTCAACCGCGGCCACGACCCAAGTGGTTACATCATCCGTTTCTCCACAACACGCCGCTGTCATGTGGGCCAACACCGTACCCGCCTGTATGACCGCGGTACCCAGCCCACCATTTAATATTTGCAGGAAGGGCTCCTAATCCCCCTGACTATCATCTGGGCCCCTATCAAAGTGAGACCACGAACCACTCTATTTGAAGGGGTTAAAAGAACCCAAACTGTGCGTATGCTTGCCGCAGCATTGCCCTGTCCGCCTGGGGAATGGGAAAAAACGCGGCGAAGGCATCATCTAGCATGGTGGGAAGAACATGTAGCACCTCCACGTCGGACCATGCTGTGAGCTCGCAAGTGGCGGCGAAACGCCGCCAGAAGGCCGCCCAATCACCCCCCGCAGCCGAAAATTCCTTAATAAACGGAAGCCGCTGCGCGAGGGAAGGCGCCCCCGGATGAGCTGTCAGCGGCAGGTTAAATTCTGCGGGACTCGATTCCCACCATTGGTTGTCAGTGACGGCGGAGTCGCCTGTTCGCTGCCCCCGAGTCGCAGACCCCTCCACCGGCTCTTCCTTACCCAGCTGCCCCACCAGCGCCGTCACCGCGTAGAGCAGCTCCACGATGCATTGAGTGCCCGCAGGCCTTCGCCAGCCGACGGCAGCGAGGGATCATCATCCTTCGCCCGCTGCCCGCCGGGACCGCTTCTCCGGGACCCCCACCGGGGTCCTGGCTATTGGGGCTGCCCGGGAACCCTCATCGCTCGAGGATATGCTGATGCAGGACCTCCTCTTTGCAGATTTTGACATAGCCTATTCTTCCCATAAGTATTTCGAAAATAAATTCCCAACAACGCTAAAACAAAAACTTTTTTCTTTCGATAACACTTCTGACACCAAATGTAGTGTACTAATTCAGAGATACTAGTAGGAGACGTTATCCATCTTGTTAATTCCAGCTCTCACAGGCATAGGGGACAACTCCATACAGGGTCGGGACAGCCAACATGCTTCCAGACTCAGCTTGAAGAGGTGAAGACCACGACGACAGCAGCATGACGAGTTCCATTCCTGATAGCAGCAGGCCCCGACTCGGAGTCGGAGCTCACCTTTATTCTCCACAGCGTAGCCAGGCACCGCCCTCGGCCACGCACCCTTTTGGATCCCCCAGAAGGGTCCGGGTTTGGCCCACGGGTCCAACTGGTAGAACGGGCTGCTACCCGTAATTTCATTGTCTACCAATCCCCCAGCGCCACGCGCTACAGTGACTCATTCAATGTCACTACAGTTGTGTGAGTGGGTGGTTGAGCGACTGGGTGAGCATGTGAGTGAGTGAGCGAGCGCGCCACGTCTCTCCGTCTCTCCCTCTCGCCCCGCAGGCCTGAGCAACATCATCGGCATCATCGTCTACATCTCGGCCAACGTGGGCGACCCCAACCAGAGCCAGTCCAAGAAGAACAGCTACTCGTACGGCTGGTCCTTCTACTTCGGCGCGCTCTCCTTCGTCGTCGCCGAGATGGTCGGCGTCCTCGCCGTGCGCATCTACATCGACAACCACCGGCTGGAGCGGGCGCGCTTCCGCCCCGACTTCCTCAAGAGGTCCACCGTGGCGCGCCTGCCCAGCTACGTCTACCGCTACCGCAGGCGCTCCCGCTCCAGCTCGCGCTCCAGCGACGACGAAGGCGGCGAAGGCGACGGCCCGGCAGCCGCGGCCGCTCGCTCCGACGACGACGACGACGACCGGACCGCCGCTCTCAAGGGCTACGTGACTCCCCCGCACCATCCTCTCCATCCTCCGCCGGTGGCGTTGACGCTGTCGCATTCCCAGCAGCTGCAGCAGCAGCAGCAGTCCGCCAACGACATGGCCATGTACGCGCTCGCCAACAGGGACGGTGTGGGCAAGGGCATCCTGGGACCCGCGTCCTACCTCAGCTCGTCCGAGCGGCTGGCGGCTGAGGCCGGCTTCCTGCACGTCCACAACTGCGTCCACAAAGAGCTGCCGGAGGGCCTGCTGAGCAGCAGCCTGGCCAACAGGAGGACCACGCCGGTGTGATCGTCCGCGCTGATGAGAGCTGCTGGCGGAGAGCGGCGGCGTTGTTGGTTTTTTTGTTCTTTTGAGCTGGGGGCGCCCCCCCCCCTTCACCTCCAACCTCTCTGTTGTCAAATGCTGAGCTGCGAGGTGGTCCGGTAGAACGGGGCCCCCCCAGGTCATGTGACACCGTCATGGAGCTGAGCGGTGTGGATAGTTACTCATTCATCACCCCCCACCACCACCACGCTTCGAGGGCCCTTCCCTCTCTCCCTCACCTCTGTCCCCCCCCTCCCTCCCATCTCCCCCTCCTCCCTCCCCTCTCTCTCTCCCCTCTCTCCCTCCCTCCCCTCTCTCCCTCCCTTCACTCCCTCCCTCCCCTCTCTCCCTCCCCTCTGTCCCCCCCTCCCTCCCCTCCCCCCTCCCTCCCTCCCTCCCTCCCTCTCTTTCTCCCTCCGTCCCTCCCTCCCTACCTCTCACCCTCTCCCCGCCCTCTCTGTCTCCCTCTCTCAACTCCAGTCTCGTCGTCTCCCCCCGCCCCCCGCCCCCCTCTGCGTCAGTCTCCCCGTGGAAATGACATTTTCTGCCAACCCGGAATCCCGAAGGCGACACTTTGGCCCAGCGACTTGTGATGGGCACGAGGAGGAGTTGGTTGTGACACTCGCGAAGGAACGGCATGTTGGCTTCGTGTTGTTGTTGTTGTTTGTAGGGGGATTCATTTCGCTGCAGAACTGTTTACTCATTCGGTGGATGGCGGGCGGTTATTCTAAAGTGCCCGGAGGGATGACACATCCCAAGCCGCAAAAACTGCCGACCAATTCGCCACCAAGTGGCGGTGACGTCACTGCGGCGCCTGTGCCAGGCTACGTGCACGTGGAGGCCTGGGCGGGAGGTCACGTGAGCATGACCCAGCCAGCAGGAGCCGCCGTGGGTTGACTTGAGCGAGATGACACGTGGACACAGAGAGACGGCGACATCGCCCTGTACCTGGCGCAGGAGGTGCCGTGGGGGAAGACGGGGAGGAAATCTGTGCGCTGTAAATAAAATAAATATAAGTTAAATAAATAAATGTTTGCTTCATAAATAAAGTAAAGATGACGTATGTATTATTCTTTTATATTTGTTTTATTAATAAAATAAATATAAAATACGTATTGTATTTATTTTATCAATAAAATGAATATTTGTTTTTATATTTCAAGAAAATAAATATAAAATATTTCTTATATTTATTTTATAAATAAAATAAATATAAAAAAATATTCATTTTATAAATGAAATAAATATAATACACATTTTATATTTATTTATCAATAAAATAAATATTAAAAATATTTATTTTATAGATAAAATTTAATATATTTATTTTATCAATAAAATAAATGTACAAAATATTTATTTTATAACTAAAATAAATATAAAATATTTATATTTATTTTATCAATAAAATAAATGTTACAAATATTTATTTTATAAATAAAATAAATATTTAACATGTTTTATATTTATTTTATAACTATTATTTGATAAATAAAATAAACATAAAATAAATTTTTAATTTATATTTCCCGTCGCGATGTCAGAAGCTTCATACTTTCCCCCGCCCCCTCCCTCCCCCCACCGGATTGTTGTGTTGTTGTTGTTGTTTGTTTTGTTTGCAAAATCGTGTGTTGCCGTTGTACCGAACGCGAGACGCCGTGGATACAGGGGTGGAGGGGAGGGAGAGGGGGGGAGGGGAGGGGGTGTGGGGGATGTGGCAAGTCAACGTCCCGCCAAAACCGGGCCAATTTATTAATTTATTTCCAGTAGTTTACAATTAATATTAAAAGTAAATAATAATTATATGCACGCGCAATTCCTAATGGGAGGGACCAAGCGAACCCCCCCCACCCGCTCCCCGCCCCCCCCCCCCCAAATATAGAAGTCAAACTCCACCTATTGTTGGTGGAGTAGTGGGGGGGGTGGAGTCGGGGGTGGAGTCACGTGTGGTATCAGTGGATCGATCGGGGTGATCTGACGTCACGTGTTACTGTGTGACGTCAGTGCCGGTGACGACGACGACCCGAAGCCACGTGCAAGAGACCCCCCCCCCCCCACACACAACCCCCACCCCCATTCGGGGTGATCTGACGTCACGCGTTGCTGTGTGACGTCAGTGCCGGTGACGACGACGACACGAAGCCACGTGCAAGAGACACCCCCCCCCACACACCCCCACCCCCATTCGGGGTGATCTGACGTCACGCGTTGCTGTGTGACGTCAGTGCCGGTGACGACGACGACACGAAGCCACGTGCAAGAGACACCCCCCCCACACACACCCCCACCCACCACTCGCGGTGATCTGACGTCACGCGTTACTGTGTGACGTCGGTGGCAGATGCGCGTGACGGCAATGACGACGATGGTTATGATGATGATGGTGACGATGATGATGACGATGGTTACCATGATGACGACAATGATTACCATGGTAACGACGATGGTTGTGATGATGACGACGACGATGGTTATGATGATGATGGTTATGATAATGATGATGACGATGGTTATAATGATCATAGTTATGATGATGATGGTTATTATGATGATGATGGTGGATTGTTTTTTGTTTTTACAAAAGATAATATCCTGAAAAAGCCGTTCGACGTTCCTGCTTCAATGCCGCATGGGGAAGGCAGGCTTTGGGCCCGGTTACAAATGTTGTTAATTGTCACAAAAATAAACAAACAAAACCCCACTTGGCCCTCCAACCACGTGACTTCGGGCTGCGGAGCCGCGCATCGTTCGGGCGCAGCGGCCCGACGTTTCGCCGCACGCGCCCGGAGCCTCCGCCGGTACCGTGGGCGAAACGTCGGGCAACGTGCCCGAGCAACGGTGAGCGTCGACCGCGACAACCTTCAGACGAGGTGGCATTTAAGAAAAAACAATAAATATATATAAAGCGATCGTGCTCCCCTTGTTTGTCCACTTTTTAACGGATTTCAAGGTTGTCTTCCACTTGTTGGGGGCCACTTTGACCATAACTTCACAGTGCTGGGCCGGGTGAAGGTTTTCGGGGGCTACCACGGCGCTTGCTCGCTCGGAATTTTCGCCAAAACGTCGTCTCCAGCCACAGCTGAGCCTGGAAGATGTGGGCGCCGCGGTAGCTGGGAGATGTTAACTACCTCGCCTGGTACACAGGAGGTCGTGGGTTCGATCCCGACCCTGACACCTGCTGGAGATTTGGAGTTCGAGATTCTCTCTCTCTCATCATGATCACGGTGGTTAGGAGATGTTAACCACCTCACCTGGTGCACAGGAGGTCGTGGGTTCGATCCGGACCCTGACGCTTGCTGTATATTTGGAGTTTGCGTCTCTCTCTCTCTCATCATCACGGTGGCTGGGAGATGTTAACTACCTTGCTTGGTACACAGGAGGTCGTGGGTTCGATCCAGACCCTGACGCTTGCTGTATATTTGGAGTTTGAGTTTCTCACTCTCTCATCATGATCACAGTGGCTAGGAGATGTTAACTACCTTGCCTGGTGCACAGGAGGTCGTGGGTTCGATCCGGACCCTGACGCCTGCTGTATATTTGGAGTTTGCATCTCTCTCTCTCATCATCACGGTGGCTAGATGTTAACTACCTCACCTGGTGTACAGGAGGTCGTGGGTTCTGTCCCGAACATGACACCTGCTGCTGTATATTTGGAGTTTGCGTGTCTCTCTCTCCCCGTGATCGCGTGGACTTTTCATCCAGGCCCTCCATTTTTTCCCCCACATTTAGAATCGACGTCACGCATTTCGAGAGTTATTTGGCTACAAAAAAAGGAAACCACCTGATCATCCAACTTCATTTGTCATAGCAAGATCGCTTCTGCTTTATAAAAGAAAACAAAAAAAGATTGACTTAAAACTTTCGTGACTGCAGGAATTCATATTATTCAGGGTCTTTCGGTAAAGTCACGTAGATAGAAAAAAAGAAAATAACAATAAAATAATAAAAACGAAAATAAAGTGAATAAAAATCATGAAAATATAACGACGTTTCGATCGCAACACAAGCAATCGTCATTAGGAGAAAAAAGAGGGGAAGCAGGGGCGGTTTCTTCATTAGGGCGATTGGGCGACGCACCACCAATGTCATTCAACCACAGAGTCACGCGAGCCGTCACTGTGCCTCTGGATATAGTCCAATCAGCGTCATGTCACGTTCTGTGGAATACCGCCTCTTTTGGGGCGATTTCACTCCGGCTGAGAATCGCCCCGAGTGGCCCCATAGACTTACATTCAAAGATGTTTTTTTTCGAACGGGGGCGCTCCAATGCATTCTCTATGGCTTCCGGGAGGGCTCGCCCTAACGTGCTTACGTCATCATACGTGCTTACGTCATCATACGTGCTTACGTCATCATACGTAAGCACGTTTCATCCAACAATATAATTTATCGCCACCTAGTGGAATTTTTAATAAAATAAACTTGAGTGGTTTGTTTTAATAGTGAGTATAGAAACTAACAAGATGTATTGTAAGAGTCACTTTATTTTTCATTAATATTAAAGAAGTGAAGTTGCCTTTACATGCTTAAGCTGTTAATTTATCCATTGCATGGGTGGACCTTATCCTTATCAATCATCCAGAGATTTGCCCCCCCTGAGAGATTTTGCAGGAGCCGCCACTGAGGGGAAGAGCTGCTGAGGCAGGCTGTTTTAAAGGTTTGAAATGGGTGTTGCCCAAGGGTCATAAGCGAAGTGGGCGGGGCTATCTTCTTGGTTCTTTCGGTAAAGTCACGTAGAAGGGAAATAATAAAAATAAAACATAATAAAATACAGTTCTCTTATTATGTTTTATTTTTATTATTTCCCTTCTACGTGACTTTTCCGAAAGAACCAAGACGATGAATCCCTGCAGTCACGAAAGCTTTAAATCGAAATTATGGCGGGGCTAGTGATGTGAAAGTGAGAAATTTGCATGTCAATGTAAAATCGGAGAGCTGCCTCCATGACGAGGGTGCGGAGGTGGCCATTGTATTGTGAGAGATTAGCATGTCAATGTAAGAGATTAGCATGTCAATGTAAGAGATTAGCATGTCAATGTAAGAGATTAGCATGTCAATGTAAGAGATTAGCATGTCAATGTAAGAGATTAGCATGTCAATGTAAGATCGCGGATCCGCCGCCATATAGAGGACATGAGCAACGGCGGCTGTGTTAGTGTGAAACTGTTAATGTCAAATCAGAGTCTAAAATAACTGCTAACATTAGCAGGTAGGATGGAAACATCACAGACAGTTATGACTTAAACT